GCAATAACTCTTTGATTCTGCATTAAGACGCACCCCAATCCCCGCTTCGAACCATCACTATAAACTTCAAAATCCCCAACCTCCATTGGTAAAGCCAAGATTGGTGCTGAAGTTAATTGATGTTTCAATTCTACAAAAGATGACTCACACTCGTGATCCCAATTAATGTTTGCTTCCTTCTTCAACAAATTAGTTAATGGCTCACAATCTTAGAAAAATCAAGAATGAATATTCGGTAATACCCTGCCAAACTCACAAAACATCTTACTTTTAATTGATTGGTAGGTCTTGGCGAATCCGAGATTGCCGCCACTTTAGAAGGATTTACTGAGATATTCTTTCCAGAAACAACATTCCCCAAGAAAGCAACCTCTTTCAACTAAAAATCGCATTTGGATAACTCCGCATATAAATTTCTAGCATGAAGTGTATTTAGTGTCACACACAAATGTTTTGCATGTGTCTTTTTATCTAGGGAACATACCAAGATATCATCGATAAAAACATCCACAAATTGCTCGAGGTATAGTTGAAAAATTCGATTCATCAACTCCATAAATGCAGCCGTGCCGTTGGTCAACCCAAAGGACATAACCGTAAATTCATAATGGCTGTATCTAGTACGAAAATTTGTCTTAGGAATATCATGCTCTGAAATTCCTAGTTGATGTTATCCAGATCTCAAGTCAATTTTTGAGAATATACTTGCACCTCTCAGTTGATCAAATAGATCATCAATTATCGCAAGAGGATATTTGTTCGTCACCGTGATTTTATTCATCCCACGGTAGTCAATACACAACCTCAGACTTCCATATTTTTTTTTCACAAATAAAATTGGAGCTTATATCCAAGATAGCATACTTGGAATAAATGTATCCATTGTCTAACGATTCATGAAATGACAATTTAACCATAGGGAGCTCAAGGGTATCATCTGATGTGGGGTTCTTATTACTCCACCACACTAATGTCAATAGAACTTTATCACAACGAGTACATGAATGAATTGTCCCACAACGCCAACAAACAGCCCCCAATTGTTGAGACCTCTCTTGACTCAATTCATTAATTGAAATCCCATTATACGATGGCTCAGACCTAAACATTTGCCACCATTTCTTTTTACCCTTTGGTTCATCCTCCAAATTACCTTGTCCTTTATCTCGAAAATGATTTTGATAACCCATTTTCTTCTCACTGTTCATCTGCCTGATTTCCTACTTCTGATATAATCGAGTAGCACTCTTGTAAGCCTCATACGATGAACCGATATCCAACATAGCTAAAGCTTCTTGAATTCTCTGTTGTAACTCATCTACAAAATGATCAATTATGTCCCTCTCACAGGAAAAGTATTCAGGAACATACATCTTCAGCTCATTGAACTTCACAAAATAGTCATCAACTGACATCGAACCCTACTTCAAGTCCAGCAACTCTTTTTTTTCTTTGCTTTTCGAACATGCGACGGTATAAATCTAGCCTTTAATTTTGCTTTGAAATCATCCCAAGTCATATACACTTGGTCTATACCAGCAACTTCCACACCTAACAACCACCGATTTGCTCGGCCTTCAAAGAAATAGACCTCGATACTAGCTTTTTGATCTGATGGAACCTAAACAACACAAAATATATTTTCCATCTTCTCAACCCAAAACTCAAGAACTCTAGGCTCCACCAAATCAGAATATGTTGGTGGGTTATGCCGCATCACAACATAAACAAAACTCCACTATTGAGGCATCATCACAGTTTATGGCTGCCAAAAGAAATCTTGACTAAGTGCCTCTATTAGTACACACTCTAGTATACATGATACTTCTCTGGGCCACGAATAGCCCTATGTAAACTACCACCTCGACAATTCGACATACTGCCTTTGATTTCCCTGATTCAATAACAACTCAACAACAATTAAACCAAGTATAATAACAAAACACAAAGCACATTAACATGAATGCACCCACAAAACCCAAACTTCGCCAAACCAATTCAATATCATTATTATTTTCAAAATATTTTTAATCCAAAGAGCCAAAATCTATCAAACCTATGCTCTGATATCAACTTGAAACACCCGCAGTTGGCTCATACTGAAAATGCTACCACCACACTGTATAATGAGGTCATCACTTCTTGCTTTGGGCCCCACAATAAAGTGTTAAGGCTAAAATTAACTATAAAAATATTTTATTATTTCACACAATAAAGTTTATGAATATTTACAAAACGACGCTCCTAAACAGGAGTTTTTTTTTTTTCTAGTTAGAAATTTACATATGATACATAATAACAAGTGCACTCACTTAACCCGTCTTTTTATATTCCGAGACGTCCCATGTCCCGGAGGTGCCATGCATACCTGAACCAAATATTTTTCTTAAAAGCAGTCTAGAATTAAATCCATTTTAAGAACTAACATGGAATATCTCATGTCATACTTTTTACAATAAAGTCTAATCTCTGTTAATCACAAAATACGTGTCATGTCATGCCATACTAATAGTGAAATGATGCAACAAAGATATCAAACTCGACAACCATACACATGCACATATAATTACATCCTTTGAAGTTAGCAGCCGAAATAACCTCGACTCCATAATAATAGGTTCACTGCATCTATCTAAGTGAGCAGCCGAAATAACCTCAGTCTCATAATAACAAGCTCACTAGACCATCATCAATAAATAACCGGAAAATCCTTGGCTCAAGAAAGGACCTGAGTAACACATAATAACATAATGATCATCCGGTCACTTCCATATACCCACTATACGACTCCCACAATCAATACATGGATAGTCGAACATTGTCTCCATTAACCACAAGACATCCCATATTCTGTGATAGCGAAGATAGGCCCTCCATGTCTAGCCCTACCCCGTGTAATGTAGTAGAATCCATGCAACCTGGAATCACCCAAGGGAAATCCGGAAACTCTACTCCTCCTCACGCGCTCTAACGGGATCACGTTTAGAGTTTGGTATATGATTCTAAACTACCGATAGGCATCATCAGTTATTAGCCCAATGAGTGGAACAACACCTAACATGAATGATTAAACCAAATACGCCTTAACTACAATGAGTCTAATTCCAGAATGACTATGCGACTAAGTCATCCAGTTGTCCGACTACTATCGTCCACTATCACCAAAGTGTTACTGTACATCGGGGTCAAATATCCTAAATCCAGATGATGCTCTCGCCTAGCACTACCGCACACAGAGACTGAACGATAGATTCATAAAACATATCCTTTAAAATGTGCAATATGCGTGCAACATATCAAATAAATGAATTTATCAAAAATGGCTGGTGAGACAGGTCACTATCCTCCTTTTCATAAATTCACCAACGCAATCAAATACGTATATTAAATATCATAAAATGCGAAGTCTCACACATGCACATGCACACGCACATACAGCCCCCCTTGCCCAAAAATATATCTAATATATTTATATTATATTTTATTAATATATATATTAATTTTACTAATTTAACCTAAAATTTATCCTAATAATATTCAACCGCCACAGCCGTTCTTGATTTTACTGTTTTTTTAATCTTTAATATATAATATATATATATATAGTATTTTATTAATAATGCTATATTATAAATATATATATTATAGTATTAAAAATCAAATCAAATTTAACCTAAATTTCAAAATTATTTTTTGTCTCCCTTGTGCCCAAATTTCAAATCTTCTTTATTTCTTTGTTGTTTTCTTTTTCTTTTATTTTTTTCTCATCTATTGTTTTTTGTTCTTCGAAATCTTTTTTCTTTTTCATCCTTGTTTTGGTGTTGGACTCAAATCTGATCGGGTGGAACCAACTGGCAAAAATCGGTATTGTTCTTTTTTTGTTTTTAGATTTACTGCGTATTTGAATTATTTTTTTATGTGAAACATGAAAAATTATATCATAATAAAATTCATAATATTTTATGTTAAATTTTGATTTTCGGTGATGAAATATAATATATGTTATTTTTATTTAAAAATTTTATGTTAGATAATTAATATTTGATTTATTTGTTTAATTGTTTGTTAGGTTGTGTAGTTATGGATAAATTTGTTGTCAAATCAAAAAGGTCTGCTTCAAGTTCATTTTTCCACCCACCAAGTAATATGATTGCTAGTCAAATTGGTATGGATGATAGAGAAAGTGTTAAAAGAAATCGAGTACAAATGGAATTATCGGAGAACGACATTGTTGGTGATCCAGGATTACGTAAACCGATTGATAGCTATCATATTGATGGTAGAGATGAATTAAGAAGACGATATTTAGCTAAAGGGCCTTGTCAACCGCATGATCATGATTTTCCGAAGACTTCATTTGGTAAAATTATGAGAAAATTTCAATCAACATGGTTTGATCAATTTGAATGGCTTGAATATAGTGCACAAAAAGATGTTGCCTTTTGTTTTGTATGCTATTTATTCAATAAAGGCCACAAGCATGGTGGGGATACCACTTTTACAGAAGTTGGTTTTAGAAATTGGAAAAAAGCCTTAGAAAAATTTAAGAAACATGAAGGTCCTTCAACAAGTGCACATCGTTATGCTAAGATTCAGTGTTCGTCATTTCAAGATCAGCGACATAATGTTGATTATATGTTGGCACAAAGAAGCAAGGAGGTAGAAATTGATTACCGTATTCGGTTAACAGCAGTTGTTGATGCAGTCAGATTTCTTTTACAACAAGGTTTGGCTTTCCGTGGGCATGACGAGTCAGAGAAGTCAATGCAAAGAGGTAACTTTCTTGCACTCTTGAAATGGTATTGTGATAGGAATGAAGAAGTAAATAAAGTAATGAATTCAAATGCTCCGGGAAATAGTCAATTGACATCTCCTAGAATTCAAAGGAAATCATCAATGCTTGTGCAATAGAGGTGAGAAAAATTATTTTAAACGAGATTAGAGACAAGTACTTTTCTCTTTTGATTGATGAAGCTCGAGACAACTCGGTAAAAGAACAAATGTCCATAGTTTTGAGATTTGTGAACAACAAAGGAGAAGTGATTGAGCGATTTCTTGGAGTTGTGCATGTTAGGGATACCTCTTCAAAATCTTTAAAAGAATCCATTGATGATTTCTTTGCAAAGCATGGCTTGTCATTTTCAAAAATTAGAGGTCAGGGTTACGATGGAGCTTCTAACATGCGTGGTGAGTTTAATGGTTTGAAAGCACTTATTTTAAATGAAAATTTTCAAGCACATTATGTTCATTTTTTTGCTCATCGACTTCAGTTAGTAATTGTGACAACTTCAAAGGATCATGCATTGGTGAGTAACTTTTTCGATCATTTAATTATGATTGTGAATCTTATTGGAGCTTTATGTAAAAGAAGAGATGCTCTTCGTCAAAAGTATCATGATGATCTTGTACAATGCATAGACTCTGGTGTAATTGATACTGGAAAAGGAAAAAATCAAGAAACAGGCTTAGCGCAGCCAGGTGATAGTCGTTGGGGTTCTCATTATAAGACAATCAGTCGGATTTTAGATATGTGGGATGCAATTATAGATGTTCTTGAAGTTATAATTGAGGATGGGATTGATCAAAAAAGTAAAGGTTCTGCTGCAGGTTTGGTTGAAAAAGTATTGACTTTTGAATTTGTTTTCATTGCTCATTTGATGTTCACATTATTGGCGAAAACAAATGCATTATCAGCTGCTTTGCCATGAAAATCTCAGAATATTGGTAATGTTGTATCTTTGATTATAGCGTTGAAGAATGATTTGAAGGAATTTCAGGAGGAGGATAATTGGGAGAAATTCATGGGAATTTTCTTCAAATTTTGTTCTGAAAAAGATATTTTTTTGCCGAATATGGAAGATCCTATGCCTGGTCGAGTTAGATCTCAAAGAAAAGTTGATGGCCAACCAAAGACTTATTTTCATTATTTTTGTCGGGATATTTTTCTTCAGGTACTTGTCTACTTTAATTTCATAGTAGAAATATTGATTATTTTATTTCATTTACAAATCATTTGTTTATTTTATTATTATATTAGATTGTTGATCATATCACACAAGAAATGGATAATCATTCTACGGAGACAAGTTCAGAACTTCTTTTAGGCATTGCATGTCTTGATCCTAGAGATTCATTTGTCAATTTTGATGTTGATTAACTACTTCGTCTTGCTAAGTTATATGCATATGATTTTGACGATGAGGTTATGCTAGCCGCAGCATTGAAACAATATATCTCTATTGTTAAAAAAGTTGAGTCGGTATTTTTTTTTTTTTTTTTGATCTTGAGAGTATTGAAGATGTTTCTAAAAGGATGGTTGAAAGAAGATGGCATACTACTTTGAAATTAGTGTATCGACTAATCGAGTTGGTCTTAGTTCTGCCTGTTGCAACAGCTACCGTTGAAAGATCTTTTTCTGTGATGAAGATTATCAAAACTGATTTGCGGAGTAAGATGGGAGATGATTTTTTGACAGATTCTATGGTATGTTATATTGAAAAAGAAATATTTGAAAAGGTTGAAACTGAAGCTACTCTGCAATGTTTTCAAAATATGGCAACTCGAAGAATACAGTTGTCCGACAACAAATAAACGGTCAGTCTTCTTAGATATACAATGTATATATAAAATATATTATTTTTAAAATTTTAGCCCCCCCTCTTATGTAATGCTAGTTCCGCCTCTGCGCACACATATATATATATATATATACATTCATTGACAAAATGATCAAGATAATAACACATTAACATTATTAATCAGAATCAAATGCAACATGCATACCTAATTTTTTAAAATTAGATTTAATTCTCTATTGCTTATCTCTTAACGACACTCTCTGATTTTTGCATTCTCACTCAAATCTCCTCCAACGTACATTTGTCTCATTATTTACTCAAATCAGATTAGTTATATGTTTATTCATAGGAGCTACCTGCTTATTCAAAAACTAATCTCTATAATTAGCTCGTCAAGCTTCAAACTTTTATATTTAGTAGAATATGGTATTATAGCTATAAAACCCTCGTATGCTCCAACGTACATCTGTCTCATTATTTACTCAAATCAGATTAATTATATGTTTATTCATAGGAGCTACATGCTTATTCAAAAACTAATTTCTATAATTAGTTCGTTGGGCTTCAAACTTTTACATTTAGTAGAATATGACATTTTAACTATAAAACCCTCATACCTCCTAATATTTATATTGTCCGATAATTAAATAAAAATTCTTAAAGATATGAACAAACAAGCAGGTACAATACACTGTCGTTTTCACTTCGACTTGGATCGATACAAAATTCTCATAATAAATCGCTAAGACTACGAATAGATTATTAGCTAAAGAAATTCGTCGATTAAATAGTCAAATAGTTAATTATGAATTTTTTAAAAATTTATAATTTAATATTTCAATATTTAAATTTATAATTAAACTCTACGTAAAATAAGGAATAAAATACCGAAATAAAAATCAAATGGATAAATCTTTTTCATTTTTTTTCTCGTCTCCGGACGTTTCTTTCCTTTCCTTTGCTGAGTGAGTTTGATTTGCTTTCTTTCTTTACATATATATATATATATATATATATATAATTATATTATTATTATTATTATTATTATTATTATTATTTTCGTTATTATCAACATTTTCATCCGCCACCATCATTATTTAAATATTATACTTCCTCCGTTCCAATACAATAGTCTTATTTACCATTTTTGTCCGTCCCAAAATAATAGTCTCATTTCCATAAATAATCATATCACTATAAAATTTTCATTATTTTTTCATTATTATAAGACAATTGTCACTATTTTTTTATACTAATAGACTTATAAGGGCAAAAAAAATTTCTACCGTACTTTTTACCAACTACCAATATAATATTAATATTTCTTAAATTTCATGCCAAACATAACTCAAACTATAGTTTTGGGACCGAATAAGTATTAAATAGTGTAACTTATATAACATCCCCTTATGTTTTAGTGAAAATGCATAAAACATCGTGTGTTTTATTTATTGCATAAAACCTCTTTGTATGAATATAAAGTTTGCACGAAATACCTTATTGTCCAAAATAATATTTGATTATAAATAAAGATCTAAATTACGCAAATAAAAAACGCAAAATACCGTAATAATTTTTTTTGAATAAAATAAATAAATAAATAATTGATTAATCGTTTATTTTATAGTTTTTGAAAACAAATTGTTATGTGATTTTTATAAAAATTATAAAAATAAATGATTGATCAATAATTTATTTATTTATTTTATTAAAAAATTATTTAAAATATTTTACGATTTTTATTTGTATAAAACTTGTGCAATTTAGGTTTTTATTTAGAATCAAATATCAGTTTTGGATGAGAATGATGTTTCGTGCAAACTTTACATTAACACAAAGGGGTTTTACGAAATAAATAAAAGATATGGTGTTTTGTGCATTTTTACTAAACTAGAATGGGGTAATATATAATTTACCCTATATTATATTATATTTTATATTTACCTTTATAGATATTTATCTTTTCAACCATCTTTTCAATTATAATCAATATATAAAGTAAGAATAAAATTTAATCTATAATATTAATTTTTTGATCCCAAAATATTATAGAAATATTTATTTGATATAATAATATTATTTTATATACTTCAAAATCAGGGCATTAAACTCGATGCCGAGGAAAGATGATTATTTTGATGGGAAGTGTTAAAACTCATCTTCTATGAAGAGTGATTCGAGGACACCGGACTACATCGATCTAATCCGTCAATCAAATACCCTGAATCTTTGAGTTTTCTTATTAATGCAAGCGTAGAGGATGCGATCCATGGAAAAAAAAAAAAAAAAAAAAAAAAAAAAAGAAAGCAAGAATTAGAAATCACCAAAATCCAAAATAAAAAATGGAAAAAAAAAAAAGTAAATCTACTTGGTGTTTGACAAATAATTTTTAGTTATTTGACTAGTCAAAAAATTAATTTACTTAATTAAGTGTTTAGTAAATTAATTTTTTGAAATAGCTTATCGGCCTCAAAAAGTTCATTTCTGAAAAATTATATAACACGAAGTTTTGAAAAAAATTTTAAATTTTAATTTTCTTTATTTCTTATTTGTCCTTAAAATGTTATTATATATTTCACATACATATAAATATATTTTCTACTGCAGTATTATAAATTATTTTAATATATTTTTTATTAAATTATAATTTTAGTTTTATAAAACTAAATTAGTTAATTTTTATATATAATTAATTTTATTTGTAAACTATATATATTTATTAAAATAAAATAAAAATAAAAATTATAAATATAATAAATTAATCAATAATTAATATAATAAATATATTTACAATAATTTTATTATTTTATATTTTACATCATTTTTAATAAAAAATATTTATTTTTTTATAAAAATATATTATTTTTCTCACATCTAAAATTAATAAAAAAAATTATAACACATTCTTAATTTCAAATAACTAATAACAAAAATTTTAAAATTTTTAAAACTAAAAAAACACAATTTTAAAATTTTAAAAGTTAAAATATAAATGTTCTCAATTGTCATTTTATATTTTACGTATAAATAACTAATATCAAACTGTTATTTTACCAAAACATTTTAATACAAACAATTAATTGAATCAGCTAGTCAAACCAGCTAAAAGATAACAATAATTGAATAATTGAATCAGCTGATTATCAAACACACCCTACGTCGAAATTATTGTTAAAATTTTATAATCAAACCAAAATTAATAATTTGTTATAAATATATAGTATAATAATACTATATCTAATATATGTATATATATGCTTACAAACTTAGGAATATATATAAACGTATATGTATTTTAGCTTAGAGAGAAATAGAGAGATTAAACGAGAGTAAATTTATCTAATGCCAAACTCCCATAATTCATTTGATATTATCCCTTATTTATAGACAATGTACAAAACATTAGTCATCACCTTTAATATCTTGGCATCATAATATTGTGCCACATGTACAATTAAATGACATCTATTAAAATAAATAACTCATAATACTCCACCTTAGGTGTCATTAACTGCAATAAATACGCCTCATTAAAACCTTGTTAGGAAAAAACCCAATGGGACAAAAATCCTAATCAAGGAAAAAGAGTACGTCATTCATGTATTAAAAATATTTCTCCTAATGTGGACATCACTTGAAATATTGCTCTCCCTGATGTGGACATCATTTGAAATCTTGCAACCGACGCATCCCGATGATCTTTACCAATTGTTCGTACGTTGCGGTCGGTAAAGCCTTGGTCAACAAGTCCGCTAAATTTTGGTCTGATCGAATCTGCTGCACATTTATCTCACCATTTTTCTGGAGATCATGAGTAAAGAAAAATTTTGGTGAAATATGTTTCGTTCTATCTCCTTTGATATATCCTTCTTTCAGTTGCGCTATACAAGCTGCATTATCTTCGTACAGAATAGTAGGAGGATTATCATTTTCAGATTTCAAACCACAATTCTGTAAAATGTGGTGAATCACTTATCTTAGCCAAACACACTCTCTACTGGCTTCATGAATTGCTATTATTTCTGCATGATTTGAAGATGTAGCGGTTAATGTTTGTTTAGTGGATCTCAAAGATGCCACTGTACCGCCACAAGTAAACATATAGCCAGTTTGAGACTTGGTTTTATGCAAATCAGAAAGATACCCAGCATCTGCATATCCAATCAATTTATGCCGAGATCCTTTTGGATATAATAGACCAAGATCAATAGATCCTTGGAGATAACGAAAAATATGTTTGATTCCTTTCAAATGTCGTTGTGTTGGCATTGCACTAAATCTGGCTAATAAATTTACAGCAAACGCTATATCTGGTCTAGTACTGTTAGCCAGATACATTAGTGCACCAATAGCACTTAAATATGGTACTTCAGGACCAAGTGCTTCCTTATTCTTCTCTTTTAGTCTAAAAGGATCTTTAATAGGATCGAGAGTTCTAACGACCATCGGAGTACTTAATGAATGTGCTTTATCCATTGCAAATCGTTTCAATACCTTTTGGGTATATGCAGATTGATGTATCAAAATCCCATTTTCCAAATGTTCAATTTGTAGACCAAGACAAAATTTCGTTTTCCCGAAATCTTTAATTTCAAACTCCCTTTTCAAATATTCAATAGCTTCTTGGATCTCTTCAGGGGTTCCAATTAAATTCAAGTCATCCACATAGACAACTATTATTACAAAATTTCTCCCATTTTTCTTTATAAAAATACACGGACAAATAGAATCATTGGCATACCCTTCCTTCAATAATGATTCACTGAGACGATTATACCAAATGCGACCAGATTGTTTGAGCCCATACAAAGACTTTTGTAATTTAATAGAATAACATTCTTTTGGCTTTGATTTATATGCATCAGATATACTAAATCCTTCAGGGATTTTCATGTAAATATCACTATCCAACGAGCCATATAAATATGCAGTTACAACGTCCATCAGACGCATATCTAAATTTTCATGTACTGCCAAACTGACAAGATATCGAAACGTTATTCCATCCATTACTGGAGAATATGTTTCATTAAAATCAACTCCAGGTCTTTGTGAAAAACCTTGGGCAACAAGTCTTGCTTTAATCTGGCAATTTCATTATTCTCATTTCGCTTTCGAATAAATACTCATTTATAGCCAATAGGCTTAACACCTTCAGGTGTTTGAACAATGAGTCCAAAAACTTTTCGTTTTGCCAATGAATTTAATTCAGACTTGATCGCATCTTTCCATTTTGGCCAATCTATTCTTTTCCGACATTCATCAACTGATTTAGGTTCTGGATCCTCGTCATTTTCCATTAGATCAAGTGCTACAATATATGCAAAAGCATTATCCATAATTGTATCACTTCGGTTCCAATGCTTTCCAGTAGTAACATAATTTATTGAATTTTCAATAATTTCATTCTCTTCAGAAGAAATTCTATTAGGATTAACATCCTCATCAAGTTTATCAGGATCAATTTCTCTAGAAATTTGATCCATGTTACTATATGTTTCTTGAGGGTTTTGATTAACATTCAAATCATCAACCATTTCATTTGTTCCTCTTTTCTTTCGAGGATTTTTATCTTTGGAACCTACAGGTCTGCCACGCTTTAGGCGTACATTTGATTCATTAGCACTTTGTATTTTGTCTCCAGGAATAAAAATTTTAGCAGGTACATTTTCAGCAGCTATATAAGATTTAGTGACTCTGCTGGCTTCACAAAAAGCATCTGGCGACTGATTTGCTATTCGCTGCAAATGTAAAATTCTTTGTACCTCTAATTCACTTTGACTTGTACGAGGATCAAGAAAACTGAATAGTATTTTCCAAGTAATTTCCTTTTTCAGTTGATCAGTTTATCCCCCTAATATCGGGAAATGCGACTCGTCAAAATGACAATCAGCAAAACGAGCCGTAAACGAATCACCAGTTAATGGTTCAAGATATTTAATGATATATGGTGATTCGTACCCGATATATATTCCCAATCTTTGTTTGGGGCCCATTTTTGTACGTTGGGGCGGTGCAATTGGCATATAAACCGCGCACCCAAAAGTTCTCAAATGTGAAATATTGGGCTTTTCATTATACACTAATTGTACTGAGGAGTAGCTATGATAGCTTGTCGGTCTTAATTTTATCAGTGTTGCTGCATGCATAATTGCATATCCCCAAGCAAATACGGGAAGTTTGGATTTCATTAGCATAGGTCTTGCAATTAATTGCAGCCTTTTTTATAAGTGATTCAGCTAGACCATTTTGAGTATGTACAGGAGGTACAGAATGTTCAATGTCAATTCCAATAGACATGCAATAGTCATCAAATGTCTTAGATGAAAATTCACCACCATTATCAAGACGAATTTTCTTTATTGGGTGATCTGGAAATTGAGCTCGTAATCTAATTATTTGAGCAAGCAACCTCGCAAATGCCAAATTTCGGGTAGATAGTAAACACACATGCGACCATCTAGTAGATGCATCGATAAGTACCATAAAATATCGAAATGGTCGGTATGGTGGATCTACAGGTCCACATATATCACCCTGAATTCGTTCTAAAAATGAAGGGGATTTAGTTCCCACTTTTGCCGGTGATGGTCTAGTTATTAACTTCCTTTTGAGCAAGCAACACATATAAGTTAATTTGTATTTAATACCCTTTGATCTTTCAAGTTATGGCCATTGGTATTTTCAATAATTCGTCTCATCATAGTATTACCAGGATGCCCAAACCGGTCATGCCAAATCATAAAATCTATAGACTTCTTGTCTACCAGATATGTCTCAACCACATTAATCTTTGTGCAATATAATCCGGAAGACAATGAAGACAATTTTTCTAATATATATTTATGTCCATCAATGAATTTTGTAATTGACAAAAATTCATTATTTGTCTCACTTGATGTCTCAATATGATATCCATTTCTGCGAATATCATTAAAACTCAACAAATTTCTTTGAGATTTACTAGAATATAGTGCATTTTGGATATAAAGTTTTATTCATTCGGGGAGAAATATTATCGCTCTTCCAGAGCCCTCAATTAACTTCGCACAACCAATTATGGTATTCACCTCAATTTTTTCCAACTTCAGGTTGGTGAAATATTTCTTATATTTCAAAATGGTGTGCGTTGATGCACTATCAATGAGACATGAACTGTCTTCCATATTCATTATAACATGCTCAGCATTCATATTTCTTATTCTGGGAGAAATATAAGAATAAATATATAAAAAATTTGGAGAAAATACATAACTGTCATATCATTACAAAATGTAGGGAGCAAAAACTACATGTGTTACAAAAATATATACACATATCTATATGCATTTTATATCGCATTTCCGGGATTTTCATAGTACCCACCTTCAGGGTATACTAGAAAATCAGATACATCTAGCTGCGTATTATCATTACATTTATCACCTCCACTTCCACTGGCAATAATCTCTGAAAAATTAATTTATGGGGGATTGACATTTTCCGGTGCTTTAACTTCTTCGGGTACTTTATCTTTCTGTTTTAGGGAATTTTGGTACAGCTCAACGAAATAAGAATTGGAACGACATTTTCTGAACCAATGTCCTGTCATTCCGCAGCGATAACACTTGTCCTCGCTTTTCTTTGAACTCTGACCAACATCATTCTGAAGCCGCTTCATAGGCCTATTTGATTCCTGCTCATCAAAATATCTTTGACGGTAATAAACAAACCTGCCACGACCTCGTCCACGGTCGGTTCCACGTCCACAACTCATTCCACGTCCACGACCAAATCCACGTCCACGACTAAATCCACGTCCACCGCCTTGTCCGCGGTAGAATTTAGGCATATTATTTAAACACTGAGTCGCATTCACTTCAGGAAATGGACTCGCATTAGTTGGCCTCGATCGTGATTTTTTAACAATAATTCGTTATTCTGTTCAGCAACAAGTAGACAAGTAATAAGATCACAATATTTATTAAAACCCCTTTCTCGATATTGTTGCTGTAAAACTATATTAGAGGCATAAAACGTGGTAAATGTTTTTTCCAACATATCCCTATCAGAAATATTTTTTCCACAAAATCTTAACTGGGACGTGATTTTGAACATCATGGAATTATAATCGGCAACTGTTTTAAAATCTTGCAAATGCAAGTGTTGCCATGCATATTTCGCTTTTGGTAATATAACAGATTTCAAGTGTCCAAACTAAATTTTCAAATTTGTCTATAATCAAGTGGATCTTTCACCATTAAATATTCCATTTTCAGGGCTTCGTCAATATGATGACGCAAGAAAATCATTGCCTTTGCACGTTCTTAATTTGTGCATTTATGTTCACTAATTATTGTTTTCGAAAGCCCCATGGATTCGAGGTGCATCTCGACATCCATTACCCACAGTATATAATTATTTCTTATAATTCCAAGTGGGGGAAATTCAAACTTTGCTATATTAGACATAATTAAAAGAAAATAAATACTTACCAAAAATTCCGCAACCTTCCGAGTAATATAACAAAAACAACAACAAAAAAAATACGCTATCTTTATATGCATTTCCTCGGCAGTTTCGTGCTGATAACCTGTTATAAATATATATATCTATATATTAGATATATTATTATTATATTATATATTTATAACATAATTGTTTTATAATGTAATCAAAATTAATTATTTTTATTCTTATTAGATCTATTTCTGATTTTTTTTTTCCGATTAATCCAAACAAATAAAATAGAGACATTTTCATTTTTTTTGTTTTGTTTTTACAAAACACACAAATAAGCGTAGCCCTAACCCGTGGCGGTTCACCCACAGCCCACGGAAACAAGGGCTGCCCACCCCAACTCTATATATTCAGAAGTAAAAGCCCTAGATTTGCAAGATCCGCGGCACCCTCTCTGATATTTTTTCTACGTTCTCGAAATCAGTCGACGAAACCTCCATTCAGTTGTGGGAAACATGGATATGTCGAGCGATTTCGATCGCATCCTTTTCTTCGAGCACGCTCGCCAGACTTGCGAGTCCACCTATTCTCTGAGCCCCCTCGATGCTGACGTTCGTTCGCTCTCTCATGAGCTATTTCTGTGTTTTTTGTTTAATTCGTATTAATTATAATTCAATTGGTGGTTGTAGAATCTGACGAGATGGGGTGGAGTGTTGCTGGAGTTATCTCAGTTTCAGAACGGTGCGGATTCGAAGAAAATGGTTCAAGGTAAGACACTTATTTGTTTTCTGGATTGCGCTTCTTCTTCCGTCTCGTTAACTACTCGTTCAAATAGTGTTTGCTCTTGGAGGCATGACTGAATTATTTATGAGTATGAAACCAATGTTGGGGAATATTGATAAGAAGGTGGATTTATGAGTCTAGAATATTGATAAGAAAATCTTCTAGAATATTGATAAGAAAATCTACAGGTCAGCTTATCTTCTGATCGACCGTATGTTTTGTTGTTTTGAAGTACTATTGGCTGGAAATGTTTGTTGCTAGTGTCTAGATCCTAATAGTATTGCGGAAATCCAGATGTTCTAGTAATGAAAGTCAATAAACAAATATTCCATTGTAGCGTGTGCTAATTGGATGGGTGCCTCTGGCTTGTATTTGAAGTGTATTTGTTTTTAATCAGATGCGATGGACAAGCTAGAGGAGGCAATAAGTATTAATCCTCAGAAGCATGATGCATTCTGGTGCCTTGGAAATGCATATACCTCAAATGCCTTTCTCATTCCAGACCTTGAGGATGCCAAGGAATACTTCGACAAAGCAGCACATGCCTTTGAGCAAGCATTCGAAATGGTATCTAGCTAAATAAGGAGGTTATGTTTTATGCTGTTAGGCCACTTGCTAATTTATATGCTTGTTTACCGATTGGTTTGTACAGGATCCAACCAATGATCTTTATAAGAAATCTGTGGAGGTCGCTGCCAAGGTAATCTTTATTATATCTTATCACTCTGATGCAATTTCTATCGTGAGGAATTGCACATATTATGGCTGAATTTTATTTGTAACATCTATTGTCTATACTAGGAAATGAGAAGATAGAAAGTGGAAGGGTTTCTTTTGTAGATATCATACTATATTGTTCCTTTGGGTAGACTTTGCTTGAATGCCTTTTTTTTGGCAATATAACACACAATTTCTTGTGTCTGTTTATTTTAATTTATTAATCTTTCACTCTCTATTTTGGTATTCACTTTATGTCTTTGATCATCACAATTGTTTGTTACCTGTGTTATGTCAATTTTCTTTCACTAGGCTGTTTGGGGCAGATTTTTATGCATTGAACACGGACCTAGTTAGGCCACCTTGGTTGCCATGTATTTAACTTACTCTGGTGTCTGACTTATCCATATGCTCTTGTTTTCATCAAAGGCTCCTGAATTTTGTAATATTTTGCTATATTTTGTTACCTGTGGTATGTCAATTTTCTTTCACTAGGCTGTTCGGGGCAGATTTTTATGCATTGAACACGGGCCTCGTTATGCCACCTTGGTTGCCATGTATTTAACAACATATTCTGGTGTCTGACTTATCCATATGCTCTTGTTTTCATCAAAGGCTCCTGAATTGCACATAGAGATTCACAAGCGTGATTTGGCTCAACAGGCGATGGCGGCAAGCTCTTCTGCAGCTGCCAGCATAAAGGTGAATTTTGTTGTTTGTTTGAGGTTCTATCTGGAACTGTTTATCATTCAAGGTTTCACGTTTGCTATGTTTGTCTTGAGCAGTTTTGGTTTGGGAGAAGTTTTGATGCTTTATAATGCAGTGGAAATTGAAATCACTATATTTCATCAGCCAAAGTTGAATCTTTAAATATCCGTAATTAGATATCATTTAGCTTGTGGATGACTGTATTCTCCATTTCTGCAGCAACAGGTTGCTAACAAGTTCAAAAGAAATGAACTCAAGTATGACATATTGGGATGGGTTATACTTGCAGTTGGCATTGTGGCCTGGGTGGGGTTGGCAAAATCTAATTTGCCCCCTCCACCTCCCCCGAGATAAGTTCTGGCATCTGAGTTCGCTATCTTGACAAAAGGGGAGTTATTCCTTGTTTAGTTGAGATTCTGAGAACATATATCCTTAGTTGAAATTTTGACTGGAGCCCTTAATTGATGTAATGAAAGTGCATTTGCCTCATAAAGTTGTAGAAACTTGCGTCCTAATATTTGAAATTTTTCTGTGTGGCGAGGAGCATTGGACGAAAAGCATATTACATTTTGGCATTTCAAGCATGCAATGTTAGGCATGCGCCCATACCAGTGTATCAATGGTTCATTGTTAAGGGTGCTCTACATAATAATGGTGCGTTTGTTTACGAGAATTTTCTTGCAAAATGTTCCAAGGCTGTGTTCTTAGGTACAACATAAATGGTGTTTGTTAAGGGTGCTAGAATTCAGAGCCTCTTGGGTAAAATGCTTGATTGATTACCTGTTCTGTTCTGTTCTCTGATTAGTTTCAGGCCCAATGGTTTCTGATAATGTGCCAATCGAATTTACGTACGAATTTTATTTTTGATACAATAACAAGTAATAAAGTGGCGTTGTGCAATGAAGCAAATATTGAATCAAACCTGTTGCGAACGAGGCTTGTACTGTACGGAAAATATTTGGATGGGGAGCGCTGTGGGTTCCTATACATACAGCTCAATCGCCATCAATGATCAGACTGCTGCCAGCTCCTCTTGTCGTTTTCTTTTGTAGGTTTTACTCTCCTCTCCTCTCCTCTCCTCTCCTATCTCTTCAACTTCAAATTGGTTTCCAAATTTTTTGCCTTTCGGGTGCTTAGTGTGCTATTCTAATCGTACCCCCAACCACCCCCACCACGTGAACACCGAAATGGACCCATTCATACACTAGCCAAGCAATTCGTCAATGGTCACTGCCTATGGCGTTGAGGATGATAGCAGCAGCAGCATCAGCAGCTGCTTACCCTGTAATTCCTCCCACTTCCAATTTCAGTCGCCTCCTTTCAAAACCGCTCTTCTTCCAAGCACCCAAAACGACGCCGAGGAGTAGAATTCGCCGGGAATTGAAGGCTACGGTGATGTTTTCAGATAACGTGGTTGTTAGCGACCTAATCGCCACCGGTTTGTCCGGCTGCGTTGCTCTGTCCTTGCTGAAAATATGGGAACAGACGGCTGACAGGCGCATTTTTGACCAGGTTCAATCTCTTTATTTTTTATTTCTCCATTCAATTAATTTCTTCTCCACAACGATCTGGCCTTCTGAGAGTTTTTTCTTCAGAGTAAGGAGTTTGACGAGAGTAATTTTGGAAGGAGAACTAATCCAAGCACTTTCCGAAAAGGAAACGTTCATCCTTCGTTTGGATCTCATTAGTTTCATTATAGTTCTACTTCTTCAGAATAACACAACACTAGAGATGATTACTAACAAGCAACGGTTTAGGAAATCTCTCTTGATAATTTCAACTCTTTCTTCTTTCTTGTGCTAGAAACTAAATAGGAAGCTTGTACATGTTACCGTTGGACTAGCATTCATGCTTTGCTGGCCTATGTTCAGGTAGTAAATATAATTTGCTAAGGTTTGAGGGAGGGGTTCGTATTGTTTCCACAATGACTGAGCTATATATATATATATATATATATATATATATGCTGATATCTTGTCGCAGTTCTGGTCGTCAGGGAGCAATTTTTGCAGCTCTCATCCCCAGTGCCAATATAATCAGAATGCTTCTTATGGGGCTTGGGATATTGAAGGATGATGCAACCGTCAAATCCATGACCAGATTTGGTGACCATAGGTATCCTCCACTCACTGATGTAGTAGAGCATCAATCAACCTACTGATTCTGATTCTTTAATTTGTTTGAATTGATGAAGATATGAAAATCTCATAGTATTTAGAAACAATTTTGTTTGCTTGGTATGCCAAGCTAATTGAAGATGGTGCCAAAGAAATCTTATCAAATCACCATACTCGATCCACGGTTGTAATTTCCTTTGTGGACATTATTAATATAGCTCATTATATTTGCTGCTGCTGCATTCAGGGAACTGCTTCAGGGGCCATTATACTATGCTTCAACAATTACTTTGGCCTGTGCTGTCTGCTGGCGAACGTCTCCTATAGCGGTTGCAGCAGTTTGTAACCTCTGTGCTGGTGATGGTACTACTGCCTCCAAATCTCTGCTTCAGGACATGCTAGTTGCTACTATGTAGAATATACCCAACTCAATACAATCTGTTCAATATTACTTTTCAGGCATGGCTGATATTGTAGGGAGACATTTTGGAAGACAGAAACTTCCTTACAACCAAAACAAATCCATCATCGGGAGCATCGCAATGGCGAGCGCAGGTTTCCTTGCATCCATCGGGTACACTGTTGTAGACATACCTACTTGCGTGCCTTGCTAAAAATTTTCATAGTGTGTTACTGTTGTCTGATAATTGGTGTATACATATATATATATATATGTCACGACAGATATGGCCTCTACTTCTCCTGGTTGGGGTACATGGAACTAAGCTTGAGAATGGTTGTGGGGTTTCTGGTAGTGTCCGTCGCTGCTGCATTAGTTGAATCTCATCCCTTAAGCACCAAGCTCGACGACAACCTGACGGTGCCTCTTGCAGCTGTGCTAGTGGGCAGTTTAGTTCTCTGACCATTGCAATGGAACGAACAAGCATTCTATTCTATGCAGTAAGTATACTGCATGCATTCTATTCGATTCTATGTAGACTTGGATATCAGTACCATTTACCGACGATTATCTATGATAAAAGTATGGGGAATGGTGTTAAAGAGTATAGTTGGAATGTCTCAAAAGACACAAGAAATGAATCCACCTAGCTGAGCTGAGCTTCATCTACAAATGCTGCAACATTGAGAACGTAATAAAGATGATGATGCAATTCATTCAATTATATAAGGGAAATAATTAGAGTTAGTTCATTACTTAATAGCTTATGTATGTAGAAAGGAAGAGAACCACAGCCAAACGAAAGTGAAGGTTGGCACAAGAGGCATACCAATCCAATTGAAGGATGATGATGTTCCAACTTCTAAGGTGTTTTTCTAAAAGAAAAATATCCAAGTCAAATATCATTTTAAAAATTTAGCATTTGAAAAGTTTTGCAAACTCCTATATTTATAAACTATAGAAGTTTTCAAAACTTTTACATGTAAAATCATAAAAGTTTTGAAAATATCTAAAATATTAAAAATAATAGTTTTCAGAATTCTTATTTTCTCTCCCAATTATCTATTAGTATAGGAAAATTATAGGATTTCTCAAAAGTAATGAAATTTTGGAAACTTTTTTCATGAAAAGTAGTTATAATATTTTAATCTCAATTTTCACCGTCTTCCACAATTTTGTTACTCTTATACTTTTAATCTCAATTTTCACATCTCTCACAATTTTGTTACATTCGAAACTTTTTTATGTTGAGTTCGTTTCTAAAGCAAAACTTTTGCTCAAGAAGTCCAATTCTCAAGTATTATTTTTTGACTAAATTATTTTATAGTTTTATATAATATTTTGTTTACTTCTCAAGTATTATTTTTTGACTAAATTATTTTATAGTTTTATATAATATTTTGTTTTATATTGTTGGTAGGCAATATTATATTTTGCATTGTATTTATTGTTTGATTACAAATTTATTTTTATATGATATTTATTTTGGCATTGTTTTTAATAAATTAGTTGTTTAGTGATTGTGTATTTGTTTGTAATTTTATAACATCTTAGGTGTATTTTTTGGTATTATTTGTAAGGTTTATATTGATGTATTATTTCTTAACTTAATATTTTTATATATGACTTATTTTTATAATATATTAATTTTATTCTTATTAGTATTTATTTAATATATATATTTTTTTACAGAAATAGATGACTGAGCAGTGACCAGTGCAATATTGATATTATGCTATATTGAGATGATAACATTATACAAGTTGGATAAAATAGAATATGATTGTGATCTAAAGTGTATGACAGTTGTTCGGCGAGATAGTACATTTTAAGATTTAGAAAGTTTATTTTATAATTTGACTGGAAAAAGCCGGATGCAATATTCTCTTAATTTGAAAATATCATATAGTTGGACAAATGAACAAAATAACAAGAGAATGAGACTTATTACTTAAATGGCTGTAACACTTTTTAAATTAAGAAAAAAATTATCAATATTTGGAGTTATTTGTTGAATTTCAACTGAATGAAACAAGTGCGGTTGTAGAGATAGCATATGTGAATCCCAATACAAGGCTTGAGCAAACAAACGATGATATACACATACTAGATGCAGATTATTAAGGAGTTGGAGAAGATAAATTTAGTGAATCAGAATCAATTTCATGCTCAGATGATGAAATGGAGATATATGAAAACTGTGAAAAAAGGGTCGTGGATGCTACTGCATTATGGCAAGAGTCAGGGTCATCGGGATCTCCTAAAACATGTACAATACCACATTCAGATAGTCAAAATGAATATCAATTGATTGAATATTTTCACAAGTTGCATGAGGAGGAGTTTCAACAAGATACATATGGCACTTTCAATCGTAGATGGGATGTTTACACAAAAAGTAGCGGTTATTTCTGGGATGATATTCAAAGATAAAAAATAGATGCAAATGGCCGTTAAGAATTATTCGTATGGTTGGGAGGGAATATATTGTAACAAAGAACAATCATACGGGCTTCAGAGTAAAGTGTAAGCACTATGGGAAAAATGGTTGCGAGTGGAGCGTGACTGCATCATATAAACCATATTTAGGCCCCGTTTGGATTGGGTTCTGATAGTTGCTTTTGGCTTCTGCTTCTAAAAAAAGCATGTTAGAAATTTGTTTTCCTTTAAGATCGATGACTCGGGTTATTCCTGCAACAAAATAATACTCACTAAGAATATTAGTATGTTAGTACCAATAATCATAATAAAATAAATATAAATTAAGGAAAAACAGTGCTATAATATAACGAAATATTTGGAATAATTTGTTAGGCTCAGGTCACAGCCCATTCCGCGCCAACTCCAAGCCTTCCAACGTGGCAACACCACAAAAAGGGAGCAGTAAGGGTTTTGACACCAAGGAATCCAAATAAGGGAGGAGATTCGCATAAAGGTAAAGAGGAACACAAATGATCACACCAAGCAACTATCTCTCTCGGCTTTCACTCGTTTCACTGCCCCCTCAAACCCACCAACACCCATCGATATATATAGTCACTTCAAGATTAGGGGTAAGGCAAAAGGAAGGGGAAAAAAACATACCTTCTCGCAAGGATAAGACCTGAGAAGAAGGCAAAAAAAAAAAAGCATGCGGCATAGAGCTACATATCGAAAAAAAATTTCTCAAGGGCAATATTAGGTAACTATTCAATTTCCCACACTTGATCAATAGTAGTGTTGTCGTAAAAAAATCGCCACCGACGGCTTAATCGGAAAAGCCTCTTGGAATTGATTTAATCATAGGGTTCCCCGGCCTTCTCAAGAAAGGATCCGGGCTACCTCACAATAAGCTAAAAAATTAACGAAAAAAGTAGGCAAAATTGGAATGAATGCTGAAAATTAAATTTTGGAATTAACGGGCAAAAACTGTAGAAGTCTGAAAAAAAATGCAGCAAATTAAAAATGCAGAGAAAAAATTAAGGCAATAGAAGATGAATTGATCGATCTCCTTTGCCGCCCTATCTTTTCTTCTTTTATTCCCTTCATTTTGTTCGGATAAGGCTCTTATCCCTTATTTTTCTCTAACCTCCCCAAACTCTTCTCACTTTCAAATTATGCTTTATCCGTTTTTTTGTTGACCACATATTTTACTGATCTAGACCTTCTTGTGGGCTGTATTCTCCTTAGGTTGGGCTCCGCTTGGGCTGGGCTTTGGTTAAATTTTGGAGTATACAAATGCCCCCCACAAAACTATTTCGGGTAAAAATTAATTTGGTCCCCGGATAGTTTTGTAATCTTCTGAATCTGGATTTGCGCGCTGTCACTTGTCCTATCTTCTTGGTATCTCCCCACAAACTTCACTCCTCACTCCCTTTCCTTCTCTTCTCACTTGCGAAAGAAACCCTTACCCTTCGAGCTCTTCCCTTCATCTTCCACCGGCGACCTTATCCTTTCCGTTCTCGAGATAGGACGCAGTAGTCCTTGGTTTCATTCCGACGAAGCCACCAGACGGCATTCTCAGTGATTTTGGAGACCGGCGGGCGGAGGGATGCTATCGAGGTTTACCCACGGTCTTTTCTCCATGGGGGGAGTCCCGATGTCTAGGTCGAAGCTGGACGCTCAGTCCGGCCGTCCTCCTCCGACACGCTCTGGAAGGGCCCCCCGTCATCTGGTGGTACTCGGTTTGGGCTCACGCCCTTCGCGAAAGATCAAGACGAGCTGCCGGAGGGTTCCTTCGACGCCCTCGGCAGGGGTAAGCTCTTGCTAGCCCAATCTTGGTTCAATCTTGATGTTTTTCCTTTCTGCATTTTTCAACTCCCTAATAGTATTTCTGAGTTCAAATCTTGGAAAGATAGACTAGATCCTTTGTACGGGGCGCAATGGAAGACCTGGGGCATTCGGTATATGTTGTCGGTGTGCACTAATTTTACCCATCGAGATAATCTTATGATCAAATCCCTTTTGTGTTTTTGGAGCCCTAGTATAAACGCATTTGTGTTTCCCTTTGGGATCCTGGCCCCGACCGTGTTAGATGTGGTCGTGATTTTAGGTCTTCCCTCGAAAGGGATAGAACCTCATTTATCCCCATTGTATAACTCCGATCGATTGCCTATTCCTGTTGCTTATGATAGCAACACCACCGTGAGTCAGTTTATTGCGTCAAACATGCTTTCTGGTCACGTTGAGTCTCTGGAACACAATGCTTTCCTTATGTTTTGGTTTAGCAAGTATTTCATTTGTTGTGCGTTGAAAGGGTTTGTTCGGGAGGTGGAACCAATTGTGCACGTCCTTATGTCTGGGGTGGAGATAGTTTTAGCCTCATATTTCTTGGGTCTGTTGTGCCATGGCGTAAACGAGTTCCTGGGGAAGCTCTCTGTCTCTTCTTCCCGCAAGCCGGTCGGAGTGGGTCCTTTGTGGTTTCTCGAGTTATGGGCGCGGCTATATTTTCCAAATTTGATCAGCCCGCGCCCTGAACTCCCCTCCCGGTCGTTCACAGCTTTAGGCCTTCATTTGGCATCGTATCCCTCTTTTCAAGGTGATCTCCATTCGCTCACCCACTCCCTTTTACACGAGACTAATCGATCTCCGGCCGACTTCATCCCTTTGTCTGGTTTCTTCTCATCTCGTGACGCTTCTATTGTTGACACCGCCAACTTTTCTAACTCCATGAGTTGGAACAAATTCCTTACTGCTCGCATTTTAGTCGAGGGATTATCTGTAGCCTCTCGATATAATTCCTTGCTAGGAGAAGTTTACCAGCCTCAGTACTGCGCGCGCCAGTTTGGTCTGGTTCAGGGAATCCCCCTGTTTGGTTACCTTTTACCACCTCCTCTTTCCGCGGGTCAGACGTTGGGATCGTCCCTTATCGATGATTGGCATGCTTACATCCGTGATATAGAGGAACTGCCACATTCATCCTATGCTTTTAATCCAAACACGTTGCCCTCCTTTGACGACTGGTGGGCTGAATTTTTTGTTCACTCGGACGTGGCGGCTCTTCGGCGATCCCTGATCAGTCCGGGTGACCAGCATTCAGGTGGTAAAGACTCGCCTGCCGCAGCTTCCGAGGAGGTGGAGGAAGTCTTCATATCTTCAGCCATAGGTACTTTATTTATCTACTATTGCATAACTGGAAGACGGGTCGTAACCGATCCTTTTCTTTTGACCATAGGTACACCTTTTACGACGGGAGCCCCATCCGCGCCACTTTCAGCCACTCGCTATTCCCGAAGACTGATATCAAAACTAGCCGCGCCCAAGTTGCGGCCGAAGCACCCTGCTAAACGGCTAGCTCCGTCACCATCCTTTCAGGTATTTTGAACAATGAGTTTCCTTTTTGAAAAAACAAAGGCTTTATGGTCGCTGGTCTTTTTTCGCAGATTCCTCCCAAGATGGCTGCCCCCGTGTCCTCCGTTGCTCCAACTAATGATTCACCTTCCTGGACATCTCCGGCTCAGGTATGCTTCACCCTTTCCTCCTTTCGCATTTGTACGGGGAATGCATTTTGATAACCCTCCTTGGCAGGTTCTCCGTGTAGGAACAGGCTCTGAGACCGTCGCTAAGTCGACTGAACGATCTGCCTCTCCTCCACCGTCTCTCCAGGTACAAGTCTGTCGGCTAATTCTGATTAACTCCTGGAATCGGTTTCTAATTTGGTAAACGCACGTAGGTTTCGCATGGAATTACAACTCCGGGAGGATCGGTTTATTCGGCCCGGGTTCTTTCTCCTGTCTCCGCCCAACTTGAGCCTGTCAGGACGTCTCCTTCTCCGTCCGCTCCTTTGGCCCCGAAAGTTGTCCCTGCTGATGTGGAGGCATACTTTGCCCAAAGCCATGCTACCGACGCCTCTGCCCCAACCAGTTTCGAAGATTTATGTCAGGATCCCTTTAGTGGGTATCAATTTGCCCTGCCGGAGGATTCGGCCGTTCTAGACACCCTGCAGGCATCTGTTCTGACTGCGGCCGCGTCTTTGTCGCTGGGCCTGCCTCGTCGCCAGCAGCTGGAGGAACTTGCAGAGTGCCTGGGCAAAATTTCCGGTCGCCTGAAGATGCTACAGGGTGTTCGCGGTATGAATGACAGTAAGCTCAAAGAATTGGTGGCCCTGGAGACGGAAAAAGCAGCTTGCGCTCGGAGCTTTTTGGATGAGAAACAACGCGCTGAGGATGAAACAACATATATAGAGGGACTCCATAATGAAGAAAAAGCTTTCCGTGCCGAATTAAGAAAGATTGAAGAGCGTCTGAGAGAGATCTCACCATAATTGGCACGAGTAACCGCGAGTCTTGCCTCTAGGACCGCTCGGAGGATGGAAATGTACGATCGTGCGACGGCCTTGGACGAACCCCTGTCTGGGCTCCGCGGCAAAAAACTTGTTTTTGAGAAGAACCTTCAACGGGCGGAGCAAGGGCTAGAGGAGCTGCGTCTAGTCTGGCCAAGTGTGACGTCCTCATGGGCTTCTTTGCACCCTAGGACTTCAGAGTTTTCCGGTTGTCTTCCTCCCACGCTGGTGGCTGTGACTGGGGACCCGTACGCTGCCGGGACGGTTTCCAATCCACCGGTCTCGGGTACATCCGCCATTAGTATTAGGCTCGTTGATGTTCACATTACGCATGATGCAAGTTTGAGTGACTCTCCTATGAACCAGTAACTTACCTCATGTCCGTGTAACTTTGCTTGAATCCTCCCCTCCACTTTTGTTTTTGGTTCCTTTTGTGACGGTCTATAACTGATGGAGGGAGTTGTTTTGTCTGTGAATTAACCATCCTTTTGATTATGGAGTCATCTTCTATTCCAAATCCCAAATGGACGGATAGAATTGCTTGAGATATTTGCCATTAATGACCGTGTTCGACTCTTTTCCTTCGAGTTCCATTAATCTGTACGCACCACCAGTTGTCTTGGCAGATATAATGAACGGTCCTTCCCACGAGGGTGACCATTTTCCGAATTTCGGATCCTTCGGCCCGACCGGAAGAATGGCTTTCCAAACCATATCACCTTCCTGGAAGGTCTGAGGTCTAACGTGCTTTTGGAAGGCCCTTTCTGCTTTTTTCTTTTGACTTCGCGTATGTTTGCGTGCTTGCAATCTCTCTTCGGGCAAAGCATTGAGCTCCTGCAGCAATGCTTGGTCATTTTTTTCCATCGAGAATCCGTTCGCCTGCAAAGTCCGGAGCGATGGTACCGTAATTTCTAGTGGGAGCACAACATCGTGTCCATAAGTCAAGCAGTAGGGGGTACTGCCGGTCACCGAAGATTTGGCGTTCTGGTATGCCCAGAGTGCTTCGTCTAGCGTATCGTGCCAGCTTCTTGGGTTATCTTCCAAAGCTTTTCTGATAATTGAGATCAGCGCCTTGTTCGTCGCCTCGGCCTGCCCGTTAGCTTGAGGGTAGTAGGGAGAAGAATGGAGCAATTGGATTCCATATTGAGCTACAAACGCCTTGACCTTTATCCCCATGAACGTTGTACCTTGATTGGTAGTGATAGTCTTGGGGATGCCGAATTTATGGATAATATTTGCCTTAATGAAGCGTATGATGTGTCTCTGCTGCACTTTGACGAGTTGTATAGCCTCTGCCCACTTCGTGAAGTAGTCGGTGGCTACGAGAATAAACGAATGTTCTTTAGATGACGATGGATGGATCTTCCCAATCACGTCCATCGCCCAGCCCAGGAAAGGCCAAGGCTTAACGATTGAATGGAGTTCCTCCATGGGGATTTGTCGAAGTGGTCCATGACGTTGACATGCTGGACACCCGCGTGCATAATCAATGCAATATTGCGATATTCGCGGCCAAAAATAGCCGGAGCGAAGTATCGTCCACCTCATCGTAGGTCCAGACCTATGTGCACCTCCAATGCCTTCGTGGACTTCCTTCATGGCCTTCAGTGCTTCATCGCGACCTAGGCAATGTGCCAGCATCCCGTCCGACCTTCGTCGATATAGCTCTCCATTTATTTGAGTGTATTTCATGAGCTGATATCGTTCGGCTTATTAGTGGCATTCCCGGGGTCTGCTAGCCCTTCCAGTAAAGGGGTTCGCCAATCCGGATCTGGCGTAGTGACCTGCGAACATTCGAATTCTCGAGGCATGTATCCCTTTTTTGAAACCGGACGCCCATTGTGCCAAGTCATTTGCCTCCACATTCTCGTCTCGGGGTATCTTCTAACACCGCGTCTGTAAGCTGCTGCAAAAGACCGTAAACTTCGTGGAGAAGAATCTGAAGCTGTGGATCTCTACACTTGAATTCTTTAAGGGCCTGTCGGTTAACTAATTGAGAATCCCCGCGGATGACAACCTTCCTGACCTTTCGGGCCACGAGGAAATGTAAAGCCAGCAATAATACTTCATATTCGGCTTGGTTATTCGTGACGCATTGCGGAAGTTGATGCGCGAAGCGCCATACCTCTCCTTCTTGGCTATGAATTATTACGCCTGCTCCGGCTGCCCCTGTGGTACTAGAACCGTCAAAAGCTACTATCTCGGGCTCTAGCCCTACATAATCTATGGTTGTAGCCTGAACCATTCCCAGATGTCCGGCTAAAAAATCGGCAATGGCCAGTCCTTTGACGGCCTTGAGAGATTGATACGTTAACGAAAATGATGCTAGTTTTAGTGCCCACTTAACCAAACGGCCTCGAAGGACTGACTTGTTTAGAAAATAGCGGAGGAGATCAACTTTATAGATAACCATAGTTTCGACTGAAAGTAGATAATATTCTAATTTTGTACAGGCATTATAGAGGGATAAACAAAGATTTTCAACACTTGAATAACGAGTTTTGGCCTCATTTAAGGTCTAACTAAGATAATAAACAGCGCGTTCCCAACCTTCGTTATCATCCTGGGCCAGAAGACAACCTATCATATCGTCTGTCGCGGCTATATACAGTTTCAGCCCTTTTCCAAGGATCGGCGGCATTAACACCGGCGGAGATGTTAGCGCCTGCTTGATCTGGTCTAGGGCTTGTTGTTGGGAATCTCCCCATTCAAATGCGTCTTTCTTCCCACGCAATAACGTAGGGAAGGCCTTCATCCTCCCAGCCGCGTTGGCGATGAATCTTCTTAAGAAATTGACCTTTCCCATAAAACTTTGTAGTTCCCTTATGTTACGGGGAGGTCCGAGGTCTTGGACAGCCTTAGCCTTGTTTTATCAACCTCGGTGCCCCTCTGATGCACCAAGAACCCTAGGAAATTTCCTGCCTGTAGTCAGAAAGCGCATTTTGCCGGGTTCATCTTGAGGTCATGCTACCTCATCCATGTGAATGCCTTGCGAAGGTCCAATAGGTGGTAGTCGAAGGCTCGGGACTTCACGACCACGTCGTCTATGTATACTTCCATGCTAGCACCGATCAAATCATGGAAAATTGCATTTATCGCTCTCTGGTAGGTTGCTCCGGCATTATTCAAACCAAAAGGCATGACTATCCATTCGAAGATTCCGATTGCCTCGGGGCAATGGAAGGCCGTTTTATGGGTATCCTCTTCGGCTAGATATATTTGATTTTACCCTGAGTATCCGTCCATGAAGGATAGGATTTCATATCCCGCCGTGGAATCTACTACCATGTCGGCGACTGGCATACGTATTCGTCTTTTGGAGTCGCTAAGTTGAGATTCCGGAAGTCGATGCAAATGCGGATCTTCCCATTCTTCTTTGGTACGGGAACGATATTGGAGATCCATTTTGGATACCTGCATGTTCAAATGAAATTAGCTTTGAAAAGCTTTTTGACCTCTTCTTTTTACCTTCGGCAGTAGTTCTGGGTTGAAACGCCTAGGGGCCTGTTTATGCGGTCGGCATGAAGCCTTAATGGGCAGTCGGTGCTCCACCAACCTTCTTGATAACCCTGGCATCTCGCGGTAGTCCCATGCGAAATAGTCTCTGAACTCGCGGATCAGAGCAACCATTCGTTCTTTTGCGCCGCCGTCTAGTAGGGTGTTGATCCGCATCATCCGCGGCACTGAATCGCTTCCTAGGTTAACCTCTTCCAGAGGGTCTTGAGCTTCGAAAGGTGGAGTAGCTCTCTGGATCGGCAGCTGAACATTTTCTTTATTCCGATCGTGTTTAGACGGTCCGGGAGCCGTTCTTGCCTGTTCGTTGGGTAATTGGGCGGAAAGGTCGCCTTCTTGTATAAATGGACAACCCGACCTACCTGCCCTTGCCTCCCAATCGCGTACAATTAGGTCGTCAGACATGACGACTGTCTGCACCGTCAGGCCGTTCGTCGGCCTATATTCTGATTTTGAACCCTTTTATGATTAAGTTACACTCCTTCCATATCCAGGTGTCTTTCAGCATCATAGACAGCGGGTAAACTTCTGGAGAATAATATACGGCTTCCGCAGAATGTACTTCCATGATAGGATCGGCTTCGGCTTTTACCGTTTCGACTTGATTCCCATTCCAGAACATGACCTTCTGGTGGAGAGTCGACAACACGCATTGGGTGGTATGAATCCAATCCCTCCCAAGAATAACCGAGTAGGTCGGCCGTCCCTCGACGACAAAGAAGGCCATTTGATCCGTCCTAGTTCCGACCGTCACTTTTGCCACTAAAATGCCTGCGGCTGTATGTGCAATACCAGTGAAGTCGGTTGTCTGCAAGGCTGTTGGGACTAGATCATTTCTATTTTTTGCTATTTTTCTCAGAGTGGGTAGGGTAATGATATTAACTGATGCTCCCCCATCAACCAGGACTTTGCTGACTGTTTTTCCATCGAGATGGACGGTAAGGAATAACGGCTTAAGGTGCCATGTATTCTCATCAGACAATTTCTGGAAAATTACTGGGTCCGGGATTCTTTCTGGAACATTCTGCTCTTGTTCTTCCCAATACAACGGGCCGGTTTCTTCCAGTAAGATATCCCTCTGGAGAAAATCAGGCTGGGACGAAGGCACTTCAAATTCCCGAGGTAATACACCCACTGTCCCAACCTCGAGGTTAGTTTCATGTTGTTCAAGGTCTTCGTCCAAAGTAACCTCTGAGGCCTCGTAGCATATGAGGGCATCGATCTTGGGTTCGTCTTCAGGGATCTGATTCTCCCCAATCATTACCATGAAATTCGTCTCCTTGGGAAACTCGACCTTGAGAAAACTCCTTTTGGTCTCCATTCCTTCTGAGCCTGGATGTGATGGCGCAAGTCCTGATGATCAGGATCTGATATTTTAGTGTTACTTCCTCCAGATTGTTGGTGCTGCTGGTTAGCTTCACTTGCGTGATGAGCAACTTGTTGCCTCCCAGTCTGCTGTTCAAGGCGAGCGGCCAGGCGTTATTGTTGGGCCCTTCATTTTTAAGTCCTAGTAGGGAGTTGGTTCGACCGTTCCTTTTAATTTCGTGCCCAACTTCCATCATCTGGAGCCTTTCCAGGGTGTCGAGTTTGGTGGGGTGTAATTACTACTTGATCTACGGACATTACTCGCCAAACTTCCCCTCTTTTTTCAAAACTTACCTCTGCGACCGTATTTGTGGGGGAAAGTCTATCCCACACCGAACTCCTTCTCGGAGGTTTGATCGCCCTTCCAAGCCTTTCAAACATTGGTTTTTTAGGGCCTGTTCCCCTGCCTCATGCTCCAAACTCCGATCTAGTCTTTCTGGGCCTGGCGGGACGCAATCCGACAATGTTTATCGGTGTGGAAAATGGCTCCGTGTCTATTTTCATGTTAGGTTTTTCGGCCAGCTTGAGGCGGACTTCTTTGATTGTTTTCTGAACCGCATTTCGGAAAGCGATACAGTTACCAATCTGGTGACCGTACATCCCGTGCCACTTGCAAAATGATTTTCCATTCAATTCCTCCTCGGACGGCATTTGTGCCCCTCCTTAAGGCGAAGCTGGTTATCGTTTAGCAAATGATCGAACATCTGTTTGGTTTTTGCGATATCGAAAGAATACGATACCTTCGGGTTAGTGTCTTTCCGTCGAGGCGGTTTAAGGGTTGGACATACGTATGTCTATCCTTGTGTTATCTCAGCCATGAAGGTTTCCTCTCCTTTTTCGGCCTCCTCGAATGCTTCCTCTTGAGTGAAATCACAATGATTCGTGTTTTGAAACTTCTGATTTCGAACCGCCTGGGCCTCCCTTACAAGGTGTTCAACCTTTATGGCCTTGGAAGTCAACTGTCAGAAATCTTGATACTCCTGGAGAGCGAGTTTGTCCCGTAAATGGTGCGTCATGTTATCAATGGCCATATTGACCACCTGATTCTTTAGTATACAGACTTGGCACCTAGTTTCCGACCTTCTGGAGCACTCCAGAAACTGTTCAACAAATTCGTCTCCCCGTTGTCATAAGTTGGTCAAGTCGGAGACGGTTACTACTGGGAGCGGACTGTAAAATCACTCGTGGAAGGCTCTTTCCATGTCCGACCAGGTGCGAATAGAGTTTGGAGGTAACGAGGTATATCATGAAAATGCTGGTCCTGTAAGGGATCAAGAGAAGAGTTGAAGTTTGTACCAATCGTTAT